ATTCCTGCATCTATCCCGCTAGATACTTTTGTTATATACATCGACCAGAAGGGCACAGGACATGTAACTTACTGATAACACAGAGGTTATTAATGAATGAAATTTCTCTGTGTCTTTGTAAATATTTCACCAGCGCCATGGAGAAGAGCCTGTGCCTTAGGATTCTTGATTTGTGAAAAAAGCAAATCATTTTGATTTGTTAGTTTAAGGAAAAAAAATCCATTGTATTTGGCTTATTACTGAGTTTCAGCATTTCTCAGGGTTTTCCCACAGTGGAGAAGGCTGAAATGAAATGAACTTTCAATTTAGAAAATTCTGCTTAAGAATGAGGTGTACATGAATTCCTGACTTCCAGTGTGTTTGAGATTTCTTTTTTTATGTTTCCATTTGCATTTGCTGACTTTAAAATCTTGTTAGTCAAAAATTCAAAATTAATATGTATTAGGCTATATTTTTGCTAGGTGGACTTTTGCTTGCATGGCTTATTTTACAGTGTAACAGTGAAATAGATTTTCTATCGAGTCTGATTTTAGTATGATACATATGCTTTCATCTGTCTTTTCTGTAGGAAGAGTAAAGGTCTGAACAAATCGTAGACCATGGCGTCTGACGCTAGTCATATGCTTGAAGCAGCTTTGGAGCAGATGGACGACATCATTGCAGGTATAATAAAGCTTTATTTTGTATCCATCTCCTTTGGGATCTAACCATGTTAGTGTTTTGTCCCTCCTACAATTTTCCTACAGTTTTGTTTCTTATTGTTTTTTCTCAAATTGTCACTTCCTCTGCAACAGACAAATTTCTATGGTTTTTACTAAGACTGCAGCATCTCCTTAGCTGGAAGTCATTTATCCAAACGTATACGTACGTATATATGTGTGTTTATGTATACATACACACATGTGTATACACTCTCTCACACGTGCGTGTGCATACACACACACAGATATATATATATATATATATAAAATATAAAAAACGTATATATGTGTGTTTATGTATACATACACACATGTGTATACACTCTCTCACACGTGCGTGTGCATACACACACACAGATATATATATATATATATATATAAAATATAAAAAAAATAATAGCTATGCTATTATCCTCATGTCCTAATGAGTTAGAATGTATAATTCTCCCTGATGGCATTCTTCCCCAGCAGTGGAACTATGAATTTCTTTTTCCACAAATGTATGCTGGAAAGGGATAAGATGCAAGACACAATTTGCTGTCTTTTGGTGCTCTCATGATATAGCAATTAAAAATCTCTTCTCTTAGTATTCTAGCATCCAAGATGAGGAGTTGATCTTTGTGGTTAGGGCTCAGTAGCCTTAGGATTTGTGTCAACACATCTGAAGATGCTGAAGATGCAACACATCTGCTGAAGAAGATATCATCAGCCTCTTTCTGCTGCAGTTCTGACTTGTTTTCTAGTAAAGCTTACCCTCTGAAGGCTAATAAGGAGCTTCAAATATTAGCATCTGACCAGCCATAAGTAGTCAGGAAGTCTATATCTAGGAAGTTTAGTTTAAAGAATGTTGAGATTTTTTTTTCAGATCCATATATGAATATTCACTTTATTATAAATGTGCAAACCTTAACGCATACCATAAGATGAAAGTATAAAAAAATGAAACAAATATGAACGTGGTAGATATAATTCCAGAAATGACTTCTCACACAAGCAAAACAAGTTCTAGGCAAATAGGCAAGTTTAGGAATGTGTTTTCTTCTCCTTTCTTTTTCCAAAAACCCCTTTTTCAAACAAGGTTTTAGCCAGTAGAAGTTGTTTGGGATTTTATTTTCTCACCTGTTGAACTATAAAACATGTAAACAGATTCTCAGGGAAAGCACTCTTCTTCCTTCAGATTGCAAACAAAGAGGAAGAAAAGTAAGTTCCAAACGATAGTTCAGAAATTAGTGATAATTTCTCAGCCATCTCATATCTAGGAGGGTAATCCTGGGTAAAGTGACACAGAAGCCCTTATCCCTTTCATTATGATGTTGAGCCTGTGCTCCTAAATCACTTGGGTATGTCTGAAAATTTTTACTCTATATCTCCCTTCTTTGATCTGTACACAGCCCAGCACGCAGTGGTAGTAGCATCAGCGCATACATATATCTTCTATTATTTAGAGGAAAAAAAGCAAGCAAGAAAGAGACATATCAGATTATAAATGGATTTTCTTTCAGTGGTTGTCAGAGGTTTTTTGTATGCCTTCTTTCTAGGGAAGGGATTAGAAGACTTGTCTTTTTTTTTTTTTGAGGATTTTCAGGTTTGTCATTCCATAGGATTTCATCTCCTTCATTCATTTGTATTAGTAGAACATGCTTCCAACTTATCTGAAATTATCTAGTATTTCCTCTTATGAGCTTTAGGTCATGTAAACAAATAGATCTGTCTCCTTGTTTATCTGAGCAGCACTATTTTGTTTAGAAAATGTTTTAATTTTACATGAAGATGCCATTTCACACTCCTTTCCAAAAAGTTCAATAGAATATAAAATTACTAAGAGGGTAATACTACTCAGTGGCATCTTTCAGAAGTTCTGAAAGTGATTGTTGTGAAGCTAGTTCTGGGTAGAGTAATAGGTGTTTTCTGCTGGTTTTCTTTTGCAGAGGATTGAAAGATTGAAAGACACTGTCTCCCATCACATCCTCCTAGGTAAACTCAGGAAGTATGGGTTAGATGAGCGGACAGTGAGGTGGATTGAGAACTGGCTGGATGGCAGAGCTCAGAGGGTTGTGGTGATCAGTGGCACAGAGTCTAGTTGGAGGCCTGCAGCTAGCAGTGTCCCCCAGGGGTCAGTCCTGGGTCCAGTCTTGTTCAACGTATCCATCAATGTCCCTTCCTCAAGGTCAGAGTGCACCCTCAGCAAGTTTGCTGATGATACTAAACTGGGAGGAGTGGCTAACACACCAGAAGACTGTGCTGCCATTCAGAGGGACCTGGACAGGCTGGAGAGCTGGGCAGAGAGGAACCTCCTGAAGTTCCACAAAGGCAAGTGCAAGGTCCTGCACCTAGGCAGGAATAATCCCATGCACCAGTACAGGCTGGGGGCTGACCTGCTGGAAAGTAGCTCTGCAGAGAAAGACCTGGGAGT